ATATGAAAATTAAAAACTCAAGGAAGACATTTATCATCAAAAAAGATATTCAAGAAAATTTTAGCACAAAAGCACAAATATGTCTACACAAATTATAGGACATAATCAACAATAACTTAAGCTAAAAATAAGCATCATAAGAAATTCATTTACTTAAGTCATGTTGTAACCATGTCAAGTCAAGAAAAATCACATTTATCATATATGCACACACTTGATAAGAACAATAGATGAACCAATAATACATATCATTTAAAATAATAGTTTATCAATTTAAAAACACAAATCAAGAGATAAAACATTTAAGCACAAAAGCAAGCATATCACAAAGGTGTTAAACAATTTAATCACTTTCAAATCACATGTATTAAGGTCAAGTTGAATCAATCATCATATGCGTACATATCTTGACCAAAAACCTAGATGAACAATGAATCAATATATATCTTTTAAGCACATAAAGTTCATCAATTCATCAACATAAGAGAATAAATCTTGAATTAATAAGGATAAAGAATTGAATCATATTTCAAGATTATTTCATAAGAAGTCAAGAGATAAAGAATCAAATATCAATATATGTGATTTAAGCACAAAATGATCATCAAATATATATATATATATATTTAAATCACAAATTAAGAGTTAAAACAATTTAGAATATAATACTCAAGTTTAAATAATATTTCACAAGATCCAAGCACTATAAACAAATTGAGCAATTTTTAAACATCATGGTCATTCATGTTAAAATCATTCAAACAAATATATTTATGCAAAATAAATGCATGTTCAATTCAAGCTCACATATATCAAATAAAATTGGTATATTCAAGATATATCAATAAAGTATATACCAATATCCATTAAGCATTTTATGTCTAACAAGAATAGGCAACCAAATCAATCAAGCATTCAAATTTCATCAAGAATAGGTAATCAAATTTAAATTCTCTTCAAATAAAAGTTTAGGGGTTACCCATCTCCATTGTGTGTCTAGAGTATTTAATATTCAATATCACATTGTAGCTCATTGCTCTAGCACACCTATAAGAGACAATCTCATTTGATTTTTGGTACCCAAATTGCTTTGGGTCATTGAGAGTTAGTTACCAAGTCTCTTGTTCCTTTTGGAACCCATTCTTGCCTAATTCTAAATAGAATTTTTCTTCTACTAAGATAAGCATGTGTAGTATGACCATAAAAATTACAAAAATTGCATTTAATCATTTTACTACTTAAACTCTTGTTTAAAAGCTCTTATTTTTCATTTATCAAAACTTCAAATTTCTTTCTCAATTCTAAATTCTATTTTTCTAAAATTTCATACCTATTTGGAGAGGTTTCAAAATCTATTTTCAATTTTTCATTTTTTTTTCCAAAATAATTTTTGCATTTATTAAAAACTCATTCTCTACATTCAACTTTGAAATCATTTTCTTATATTTCCTCTTCATTGATTCACATTCAACATATAGCTCATTATAAGCATCTTGCAATTCATCAAAAGCATATGAATTTGAATCAATAGAATTAGAGGTTACCTCCAAATCTTCAAGAGCCATGAGGCATGATACATTTCGGTTGAATTGTTATCTTTCATGTATTTCCTCAACTTCTCTCGTATTTCATTTGAGGTTGGACACTTTGATACCAAATTGAATTTGTGGGAGTGAAGAGCTCCATATAGTAAGCACTTGGCTTTGGCATCATCCATCACTTGCCTCATGTAGTTTGCATCATTTGAAAGAGTTTCAAGTCTTTTTTCAATCACATTCCAAGCTCTAAAATCTTGGATCATAATGAACACCTTCATCCTCCTTCTCCATTCACAAAATTCAAATTTATCAATATAGGAGCTTTGAAGACTTCCTTACCATCATGGAACCAAAATTGAACCATAAGATCTTTTCTCAATGTGGTTAAACTTACAAAAAAAAGACCAAAGCTCTGATACCAATTGTTAATTTTATAGGTTAGATGGTGATCCAAGAGGGGGGTGAATTGGATCACCATTTAACCTATAAAACTAACAAAAAGTTTATCCAAACAAAAAAAATATATCATTTTCTTTGATTTCATTATTTTCTTTTATTTTTCTTTCCTTTTCTTCCTTTCCCTTCAATCCAAACATAGTGTAAAAGCTTATCTAAACAAAGGAATGGTTTTTCTATTTTCATTACTTTCCTTTATTTTTCTTTCCTTTCATTCCATTCTCTTTAATCCAAACATAGGGTTAGTAAGAAATAACATTACTAGCTCGTTTCACAAAAGGCAAACATTCATTCGATAGTTAAATAATAAGTTCACATAGACATTTCATCAAATACTGGGTATTTTTACACACTACACCCTAATAACCATTACAATCTTCAACACAACTAAACCATACCCTACTTCCTATACACAACAAATCCAGAATAAACTACTAACATCAATTTATCAACTTCAAAAAACTAGTTCTTAAGCTTCTTTTACCTAAAGGATTACATAAAATCAAAATCAACTACACCATAATACTACCATAAACTAAAGCACCTAACTTTTTTTGCTTCGAATTTTAACTAGTTAATGCTGCAATTATAACTCTCTTGCATAAGATTCAGCTAGTTCATTTCAAATTTTCTATTTTTTATTTTAAGTTTTAACCAGTTTTTCATTCAATTTCAGTTTTAACTTCATCTTTTTTGTTTTGACTGGTTGTTGCAAACACAACTCTTTTACCAAACAAATTGTCAATGTTTCAACTAATTCTTAATTCTTTGCATTTGATCTTGAAATCTCATTTATTTCTTTTAATTTTAGAATCTCTTTCCTACAACATTCATATGGCATCTCATCAACCCACTGAAAAAATTCACATTTTCATACTCCTTATAAATGCAAAAATCCAAAGATTAAACATTTTTTCTACATAAAAGCTATATCAATAATTAAAGAAATCTTACCTTAAATTTTTTACAACCATAAAACTTTCACCTTGATTATCACTTGTTCTATAAGCTCTTATTGGTGATTGTACACCATAAAAATATAATTTTCTACTATTTGATCTTTTACTTTCTATAAATTGTAAAGAATCAAAACAGATGGGTTCATTTAATTTTTCAGAGTAACATGATGGGAAGAGAAAAAAACGGAGAAAATGAAGATACAAAGACATTAATCGTGGAAGGAAAAAGAAATAGAGACTTGTTGTGGCTATTCTTTTAATGGTGTTCAATAGATGATAACGAAATAATAGTACAAGGTATTTATGTATTACGTTTTAAACCTCAGTGAGAATTTTCAATCCGCCTTTAACCATAATATATATTTATGAAATTTACCATTTATAAATAATATTTTTATTAATAAAAACATATATACCAAAACAAAATGAAATAAAATAATTAAAAATATAATTGAATATATATAGTCAAGACAAGACAACACACCATAAATCTGTTTACGCCTCAATCTTAATTTTTGAAAAAAAAAAACTAGATTCAATCACAAATAAAATGCTCACCTATAGGATTTGGGTCAATCAAAACTTAACAAATACATGTTGTTTTGTTATTTATATCTTTATTTATTTTTTTTAAATACTTTATTTATTAATTTCTTTTTTTGTAAATGATCAAATTAAAAAAAAAATGAAATAAATTAAAAAAATGAAATAGAGTGTCATCACTTGTACACATCAATGGGTTTTTTTAATAAAATAATCTAATTAAAAAAATAAAGAAAAAAAAAAGGGAAGAAAGTTAACATCAACAATGATAAGCTTTTTCTAATATCATTTTTTTAAAAAAATTATCAAATTAAAAAAAGAAAAAAATTGAAAAAGAAGAAATAATATTTTTAATCAATAATATTAAATGGATTTCATATTAAAAAAATTTAAATATTAAAAGAAAATATAAATATTTAAAAAGGAAAAATGGAAGAAATGTAAATCGAAAAATGACAAAAAAAAAAGTAACTTAACAATCGATATAACCCTAGTATCAAGTTGGCAAAATAAAAAAAATTTTAAATTTCTAAAAAATATTTATTTAGTATATAAAAATTAAAAATAATTTAAAAAGGCAAAAACAAAAAAGTGACACTTACTCTTAAAAAAAGTTTTTAAACTAAAAAGCAAAAAAAAGAAAGTGGATGACAAAAAAAGAATTTGCAATCTAAAAAAATATTTATTAAATATATCAAAGAGAAAAAAAATTATAAATACGTGACATCACTTTGATATCAAATGGGTTTACACAAACTAGAATCAAAATTTAAAAAAAAAAAAAAAATTGTGAAAAATTTTTTAAAAGGTAAACCTAAAAGGTAAAAAAATTTTGGTATAAAGTGGATCTTACCTAAAAGATAAAAATCTTTAAAATATTCATTAAATATTAGAAAAAAAAAGTAAAAAAAAAAAAAGCAAAAACGAAAGGAAAATGAGCAAGTGTTACTTAACACAACTTAGAGAGATCATATATTAAAAAATTAAAAAATTAAAAAGTTACAAAAAATAAAAAATAAAAAATTTTAAAAGAATAAAAAAAAAAGTCTCATGGACACTTGATTTAAATTGCATATAAGAACAAAATTAATCTAATGGATGAATTTAATAAAAGGGAAAATTTGAAAAAAAAAAAAAAAAGAAAAAAATTTCGCAAATTGAATCTCATTAAAAAAAATTAAAATTTTTAAAAATTTATTCATAAAATTTTTTAAAAAAAATTGAAAAAAAGTGAAAAGAAAAGGAAAAAAGGCAAATATTTAAAAGTAAAAAAAAAAGGCAAAAAAAAAAAGGAAAGAAACTATGCCACGTGGTTAATGTGAGGAAGAGAGAGGGGTGCCGTACATTGGTAAGTTTAAATGTATATATATATGTATGTATGTACATATGTATGTATGTATGTATATGTTATTGCTTTTGAAAGGAAATGTGATTGAAAAATCTTCTTGGACAGTGCAAGAATATCCTCTCTCGGAAACTAATACAAATTCAGAAGAAAAAGTCCAGATATGGGTTACGTTTGGAATAAAATGCGTATATAGCTACCTTCACAAGAAATTAATGCTTGATGTTGCACCATACCAGCATGCATCAATTACACCTATATATGAACCAAAAACAAAACATGACCCTATAAATATTGCTTATATAGCATAAAGAATCCTATTCCTATACAGTTCATGAATGGCTAACCTCGGAGATCGAAGACCATCTGGTGAAAAGTTTGTGCCTGCTTCAGATTGGACGCAGGATGCCAAGGCCCATTATCTCTTTGTTGATCTTCCTGGTACAAAATCAACATCTCTTTTTCTTTAAATTAATGTTGAGAACAAAAATGTTTATGTTCATGTCTTGTGGCATGTGTTTTGAATTATTAGGTTTTAAAAAGGAGCAGCTGAAACTTGAGCTTGCTTCCACTGGTCATATAACCATCAGTGGAGAAAAGATAGTGGATGAGAACAAACGCATATATTTCGAGCAAACCTTCGCACTGCCAGAAAATTCAGATATGGAAAACATCAGTGGAAAATTCGATGGTGATTTTCTCCATGTAACAGTCCCAAGGAAATCAGTGGTAGAAGAAGAAAACAAGCAACAGGAGAGCGGGAATGGAAATTCCAATAGCATTGGAGAAAAGATAAGTGCACAAGAGGAACCTAACAAACATGGTGAAAATCAAAGTGAACATGAAGAAGGACATGGTGATCTGCATGAACGGTGTTGCGATGACGAGGCCAAAGGAGAGATGATTAGCAATGAAACTTGCCGTGTTGCAGGTTTTCCCAAAGAGATGATAAGGAAGTGGGAACAAGAAGATGGTCCATTAGAGATGGCAATGAAGTTTCTGAAGAAAAATAAAGGGGTTATTCTTTCAGTTGTTATAGCGTTTTCGATTGGGGTTTTGGTGTATCGAACGTTTGAATCAGGTGGAGAATAAGGAAGCAATTTGTGTTCATGAACTAATGATACTCTGATGTATATGTTATATGCATACACATTTGCTTCAACAGATGTAAAGAATAAAAGAAAGCTGAATTTCGAATGAAGAACTCCATTTTCTTTGTCCTTTAAAGTTTTCCATTCGAAATTAAAAAAAAAAATTTTATGTGATCATGATCAATGAAATCAGCATGCAAATGTACCCTGCCATAAATCAATTCAAATTGACAAAAACTTCCATACTCTAAAATAAATCATACTATTCCACCAATGATCAAAATAACTTCATCTTTCCTTTTTCCTTTTTCTTTTAACAAAAGAAACTATAGCCTGGAAATAAAAAAAAAATAGTTGTAGATATTGAGATTTAAATCTCAGATCTGCTGGATGCCACTTCTTAAGGATGGCCTCATGAAGCAACCGAGCTAAAAAGGCTAATAAGAGATTAACCCAGAGCAAATATTAATGTACTCCACTGAAAAATCTTCAGGGACAGTAAAAGAATAACTCTTTCGTATTCCCTCTAGGAAACTAATACAACATAAGACAGCAAGGTCTAAACATGGGCCAAGCAAGGAATAAGGATACATACTTCACAAGAAATGTTGTATGAAAGCATTAACATGTTGGGGAGTCAAAATTAGCTATATTATTTTCAGTCCAAGGCCATTAAATTATACCTGGCATCAGCAAAGCTTCATCAACATACTTCTCTTAAAAGTTCCATCTTTTGGTAGATCAATGGGTGATATTCATGGAACAAGAACAGCTGAAGAGTTCATACCCCATTCGAATTGGTCAGAAGACTTGATGGGCCATTATCTCTCTGTTCATCTTCCTGGTACCAAATCAACATCTTTATCTCATTCTATTCTTTTGTGCACAATCATTTGAATAACCATCAACTGATCAAGACTCGAGAGTATGGATAATGAGAAGCCTTTTTCTTTTCATTTTTGCTTTAACCCCCTCTAGGCATAGTTTGTTTGCCTCTTTCAACTGCTTTCTCTCCAAGAAAAGCCTGGCATTGTTTGAAATTGGTGACTGGTGACGGGCAAGAATAGTTGTCAAAAGGAATCACCGACTCTGTTTATCCAGATTTCAGGCAAAAGTTCTCCATTTCCTTGATGAATCATCATCCTTGAGTAGCTATAGACAATTACTATTCAATTTCACATGCAAACTAAAAAGAAAAAAAAAAGCCCTTATTCATGCTTTAATCAACAGTTATTCACCAATACAAGCAAATATTTTTCTTCCTTGAACATTAAGTCTCTTTGAAAACTTGAGAAATTCGAAGGGATTATGACTTCATTTTAAGAATGCTAATAAAAAGTGTTGACATTCCTGTCTCATGGAATCTTAATTCAGGTTTCAAAAATGAGGAGGTGATGGTTGCACTAGCTTGCCCTGGCTACGTAACAATCAGCGGAGAAAGGAAAGTGAATGATGACAGATGCATATATTTCGGGCAGGCCTTACAACTACCAGAGAATTTAGATATGAACAAGATAGGTCAAAATTTTGAGGATGAAATTCTTTGTCTAACTTTCCCAAAGAGAGTAGAGGAAAATAATGAAAATGATAACCCTGCTACAGAAGAGAATGCACAAGAAGAACTAATCAATGATGAAAATCAAATAAAACATGATGGACATGGCGAAGCAGAGAATGAAGAACAGAGCAAGAAAACTGATGGTGATCATGTTGTTAGTGTTCACAAAGAGATTAGAACGAAGGGAAGTAAATTGGAGAGAGGTATCAATTTGCTTAAGAACAATATGATTCTTGCAGTTGTTTTAGCATTTGCATTGGGAGTGTTTGTGTCTCGAAGGTTTGAATCAAATGGACAATAAACCAGCAATTTGATTTGCATGCTTCTTATAAGTTATGATCCTCTAGTGTGTTATGTAACCTCCACTCGTGTAAAGAATAAAAGGAACTAGCAATAACTTCAAATACATGAACTCTGTTTGATTTTTTAGCATTCTTCCTTGACATGCATCTAATAATTATATTATTCTACCATGAAAAGAGAACATAGATTAATCTAAATTGACATAAACACTTGAGTTCATAGATCCAAAATTACACATCTATAGGACTGATCCAACATCAATTGCATCAATCACAAGTCAGAGCAGTAATTTGCAAACTAGATATATATGTGATTTTTCAACCTAATAAGCTGAGAAAAAAACTGCAAACATGCAATTATCCACTATCTATGAAGTTTTTAGACTTCAAACGACATGATTAGCAGGGTCACACATACCCATCAGGATATATTAAAAAAAATAAAATTAATAAAAAATGGGACATGTGGTAATCTTGTAACACCGCTTGTGGAGTTAAATGTATTGAAAACAAACTCATTACTAAAATAAACATAAGAGCATTCAGTTATGCTCCTAAAAGTAGATTTCATTCTCTAAGAATATAAAGTGAAAGGCATTGAATTCTTATCAGGAAAAAGAGGAACAACTGAAAGAGAAAAGAGGTAGATGCGCAAGGAAATGCAAGTTTAACAGGACAAGGATCAAATCTAAAAACAGCTTGAATACACAAGTGGAAATAGCGAACTTGTTTCCCCCCATTTAGGCTGATAAAACCAAAAAACATATCACATCTTATAATGATATGTAAAAGTTAATTCAAGACAGTAATTGGGTTTTATCTCTTGTCAAACTGAAAATGGAAAATTAAAAAAGGATAGGAATCCATTCTCATTGATGTAACACTGATATTTCAACAAAATGGCATTAGAAACTGATCTAAGTTTATGGTTAAATGAACATGTTATGTAGAATGGAATCATGAACATATATTAAAACACAATACAATCTAAGTTTGTTTATTTTCTCTTTGTTATACAACTCCTCACAACAAATAGAGCAATACCTCAGTGGAAACTAGGTCCTTACAACAAGTTTGAGAGGGTTTAGAGCCAACATAAATTAAAGAACAGATAGCATTGAACTGATACAGTATAGAGGAACATAGACATGGAACCAATTCGTTGGCTATTCCTGTTCTCACCAATATTCTTCTATGCGTTGCAAGCACTTTTTGTTGATCTAATCCACTAACCACTCACAAAAACATCCAAAACTCAAACAGCATCTGTCCAAAAATTACTTTATCATATAGGATCAGATTCCATAAGCAGCCCACCAATTCAAAAAGGGCAGAATACCATCTAAAAGGAAATTGGGAGGGAGAAGCTTCTTTGACATGCGTGCCCTATGGTCCCAAATAAGAATGCTTAGCATTGGTTGGTGTGGTTTTCTACTTATGCTTAAGTGGTAATTAGATTTTCTATTAGTCAATAACAGATTGTTCAACCTTATGAGTCACATCCTTCATGTCACTTTTGTACCATCATGTCTAAAAGAATAATAAAATAGCCTTTAATCAAAAGGTAAAAAAACATACGTGGATTCATTATATATGTTGATCAAATCACCACTCGCTCCCGTTTTTGCTTCTTTATTTATGCAAAAGATTTTAAAAGATTTATGTAGGAAAATTTACGTGAGATAGTTAATAATGAATATAGTTCAAAATCTTAACTCATGCTTAAAACGGATCATACTACCAATAATGAACTAGGTGAGTTTATCTTCTTGAGAATAATATCTAATAGGAAGGTGAAGGGAAACATAATTTGAGGACGAAAACAAATACTAGAGAGGGTATATAGCAGCTTCTGGAACACAAGCGCATCCTGAGATGGAGATGGTAAGAAAAAAAAGGTTAAGTATTTGGACTTTGAGGTGTGTTGACAAGGGAAAAAGAGAAAGAATAAGAGGAAATAAAGTTGATGCTTTGTGGGGATGAACTTTATTCAAAATGTAGGTTCTTTTGACAAAAAGGAGAGGGCCACGGTTTGGAGGTAGAATTATGTGCCCTGCAGAGGCAACTAACACCAATGGTGCTTTTATCATTGTGTAAGTGGTTTCATTTCCTCAATCCTGATTATGTTTGTTTCCCAAACTCTTCTCTCAACTAGTTCATACCACTATCATCATAAAATGTTAGTAGTAGAAATGAAGCTATGGCATAGGGATACGTATATAAATCTTTAAAAACAAAATGAAGCAGAGAAAATATAGAATTAAAAAAACAAAGGAACAACAGAGCATTATAGCGAGAAGGTCAAATTGGGAAAAATGAAACAATGGAGAGAAAATCAAGCGTAGTGTGTGAATAAAGCTGGGTTTGGTTTGAAACAAAGTCCAGAAACGAAAGCAGCCTGCTACCCAATACCAAAGTAAACAATTATAATACTAGTTATTACCAAAATAAAATAAAGATGTGGTGGAAAACGAACGAACCCGTAAACGAGGGAAGCCGAATGCGCCTACTAACCCAAAACCTTCGCCAGAGAGAATGGAATCTCACTTCCCATTGTCTCACCAACATGCACTGCTCACCAACATTCTCTCTCTGTCTCTCAAATCTAAAATAATCCAAATAAAAAAGTAAGAATCAAAATTATGCTAAGCAGCCGCATATTAAAAACAAAAAAGCGAACCCGGCCTCCGCTATCAACGCTTTCTCTTTCTTCTCCGCCCCTCAAAAAAATCCAAAACAAAATTCCATCTTTCCTTCTTCTGTACTTACCAAGAGTTCACTCAACCCCCCCCCCCACTCTTTTTTATTTACTTTGCGAAAATTAAAATGAGAGCATGACGACGTCTTCTCAGCAGCATCCACCGCAACCGCCCAAGACGGTGAGGAAAGTGATCGTCGAAGTGGTTGACGCGCGTGATCTTCTTCCCAAGGATGGTCAAGGAAGCTCCAGTCCTTTCGTCATTGCTGATTTCGACGGTCAAAAAAAGAGAACTTCCACGAAATACAGGGACCTTAACCCGGTGTGGAACGAGCCGTTGGAGTTCACGGTGTCCGACCCGGATAATATGGATGTGGAAGAGCTGGAAATTGAGGTTTTTAATGATAAGAAATCTGGGAATGGAAGTGGCCGTAAAAATCATTTTTTGGGGAGGGTCAAGTTGTACGGGAGCCAGTTTGCCAAGCGAGGAGAGGAAGGGTTAGTTTATTTTCCGTTGGAGAAAAAGAGTGTTTTTAGTTGGATTAGAGGTGAGATTGGGCTTAGGATTTGTTACTATGATGAGATTGTTGAAGATCAGCCTCCGCCAGAAGAAACACCGCCACCGCAGCAGCAACAGCCTCCTCAAATGGAGGAGCCGAAACCTACCTCCGTGCTTGTTCTTGGAGAGGAAGGTTCTGTTCCTTATTATCCTCATGGACTTAATGGCTATGGTCACGGTCCTGTTCCTTGTTATCCTTCGCAGTCCGTTGTGGTTGTCGAGGAATCTCCACCACACCTTGTTCATGTTCACGAGGAGCCACCGCCACCAGCGGAGCCAACGGCTGTGCCACCAAATGTGGCGTCGGGAATTCCGGTTCCTGAGGTACATTTTCCTGTGCCAGAAGTGAGGAGGATGCAGAGTAGCAGAGGCGAGAGAGTTAGGATTTTGAAAAGACCAAATGGAGACTATTCACCTAGAGAAATTGGAGGTAACAAAACTCAAGGTGACAACGCCGGCCCTTCCGCCTCCGCCGGCCCTGAGAGGATTCATCCATACGATCTAGTTGAGCCGATGCAATATTTGTTCGTTAAAATTGTTAAAGCGCGTAGATTAGCTCCAAATGAATGCCCTTATGTTAAGATCCGTGTTTCCAGCCAATGCCTCAAATCAAAGCCGACGATTTACCGTCCAGGTGAGCCAAACGACTCGCCCGAGTGGAGCGAGGTGTTCGCTTTATGTTACAATAAACAAGAATCAGCGAACGCGACGCTTGAGATCTCCGTTTGGGACACTCCGACTGAACATTTTCTCGGTGGCGTCTGTTTCGATCTCTCCGATGTTCCCGTACGAGATCCACCGGATAGTCCTTTAGCTCCACAATGGTACCGGCTCGAAAGCGGTGCGGTCGATCAGAATTCCAGGGGCGTTTCCGGTGATATCCAGCTTGCTGTTTGGATCGGCACTCAAAACGACGACGCTTTTCCAGAAGCAAGGACTTCAGACGCCCCATATGTGGCGCACACTCGATCGAAAGTTTATCAATCTCCCAAGCTCTGGTACTTGAGATTAACTGTGATTGAAGCTCAGGATCTTCACATCGCGCCGAATCTGCCTCCTTTAACAGTGCCTGAAATTCGAGTCAAAGCACAGCTAACGTTTCAATCTGTACGGTCTAGGAGAGGGAACATGAACAACCATAGTATGTCCGTGCACTGGAACGAGGACTTGATCTTCGTCGCCGGTGAACCTCTAGAAGATTCGTTAATTCTGTTAGTAGAAGACCGTACGAACAAGGACGCGATTCTCATCCTCGGCCACGTCATGATTCCTTTGATCTCAATAGAGCCACGAATAGATGAGAGCCACGTGGCATCCAAATGGCTTGGTTTGGAGGGAGGAGCAGGCGGTGGAGGTGGGTCTTATTTCGGGAAAATTCACCTGCGGATGTGCTTAGAGGGTGGTTATCACGTGTTGGATGAAGCGGCGCACGTATGCAGCGACTTTAGACCCACGGCTAAGCAGCTTTGGAAGCCGGCTATTGGGATTTTGGAGCTCGGAATTCTTGGGGCTCGCGGCTTGCTGCCGATGAAAAACAAAGGTGGGGGCAAAGGGTCCACCGATGCTTACTGCGTTGCGAAATATGGGAAAAAGTGGGTCCGCACTAGGACCATAACGGACAGCTTTGATCCACGCTGGAACGAGCAGTACACGTGGCAAGTTTACGACCCCTGCACTGTCCTAACTGTCGGGGTTTTTGACAACTGGCGTATGTTTGCTGACGCTTTAGAAGACAAACCCGACTCCCGTATTGGCAAAATACGGATACGTATATCTACCCTGGAGAGTAACAAAGTGTATACCAATTCGTATCCATTATTGGTTTTGACAAGAATGGGGCTAAAGAAAATGGGTGAGATTGAGTTAGCGGTTCGATTTGCTTGCCCGTCTCTGTTGCCGGACACATGTTCGGCTTACGGGCAGCCATTGCTACCAAGAATGCACTATCTCCGCCCACTAGGGGTGGCTCAACAGGAGGCATTGCGTGGAGCTGCTACAAAGATGGTGGCGCAATGGCTCGCAAGGTCGGAGCCACCACTGGGGCAGGAGGTGGTGAGGTACATGTTGGATGCGGATTCTCATACATGGAGCATGAGAAAGAGTAAGGCGAATTGGTTTCGGATTGTGGCTGTTCTTGCATGGGCAGTGGGGTTGGCAAAATGGTTGGATGATATTAGGAGGTGGAGGAACCCTCTTACTACGGTGCTGGTCCATATTCTATATTTGGTGCTTGTCTGGTACCCGGATTTGATTGTGCCAACAGGGTTTTTGTATGTGGTGTTGATTGGAGTTTGGTATTATAGGTTTAGGCCCAAAATACCTGCGGGCATGGATATCAGGCTGTCCCAAGCTGAAACAGTTGACCCTGATGAGCTCGATGAGGAATTTGATACAGTACCAAGTTCAAAGCCACCTGAGATAATCAGAGCCAGATACGATAGGTTGAGAATATTGGCCGGAAGGGTTCAAACTGTTTTGGGTGACTTTGCAACCCAAGGTGAGAGGCTTCAGGCCTTGGTGAGTTGGAGGGACCCAAGGGCCACAAAATTGTTCATTGGGGTCTGCTTAGCCATCACTTTGATACTCTATGTGGTGCCACCAAAAATGGTGGCTGTCGCATTAGGATTTTATTATCTAAGGCACCCCATGTTTAGAGACCCCATGCCGCCGGCTAGCTTGAACTTTTTCCGGCGGCTTCCAAGCTTGTCGGACCGGTTAATGTAGAGTTGAAGAAGAGTTGATACATATATTAGTAGTAAATTTTTAGATACCAGATCATGGGGATGTGGTGGGGAAGAGGGTGAAAAACAAACAACTGTTTGTGTTGAAAAAGTTGTCCCTAAGCCTAAATAACATTGTAACGAGTGAAAAGGGATTAAAAGGGCTAGTGGCAAGTTGTCATTACATCTTTTTTCGGTATTGCAATTGATTGACTGACTATTGAAAACTTGGAATAAGAGAAAGGAGTTGGGGGACACAGTACAGACAATTGGGTGAGGAGGAGAAAATGGAGTGTTGAGGTGAAAAAGGGATTTGAAACAAGATTTTGATTATTGTAACGATATCGATACATTCAAATTGTTTTCTGACGTATAAAAGCCCACATTTACTTACTTTTATTCTATCCTGCCTACTATTATGTTTTATTTTTCCCATTGTGGAAATGCTGTTTTTTTTTTTTTTTTATAATAGCAAATCAACACTTTCATGCCTTGTTCTCAAATGATCATATTATTTTCATCATCACTTGAACTCTGGTGTATGTTCTAATCAAAACGCCATCTACTGAAATATTTAATGACTCTTCAAAGACATATTCATAATCTCCAATTTCTATCTTTCATGGATTATGCAAGCGTTTTTTACTTTACTTTTTCTAATGATGTCGTTTAGTGGGACAACTGAATTCCAGTCTCCACTGTTTACAGTCTGAGGTTTCTCTCGCAATGGGGTAAATACAAAATTTAGTGGGATTGCATAATCCAGGGCATCCATTTGAAAACATAATTTACAACGCCCTATGGTGTCAGACAGAAAAATGATGGTTATAGTAGAAGTCAAGGTGTATGGTTGGCACTTGGCAGCTTTCACAGCATACTTTTCCAAAATTTTGATTTGGGACCAACATGTAGGCCTACCATTTGCAGGTACATCCAAAATAGGACACTATTGGCATCTCAGTCTCAATGCTATTTTGAAACCCCAAAATTTCCTAAATCCTGATCAATGGTTGGTTCTTCATCAATCTCAATGGATTGAATAATCTACATGAATGGGCCTATCCTTTTTCAAAATGTCCATTAATCCAAAACCTCAAAATAGTAAGAAAATAAAGAAGAGAATGAATGTTTACCATACCAGGACTTGGTGCATTCATATGTGGATACATTAGTTTGATGGATTAGCATTGCAATGCTAAAATAAGGACAAGATCACAGATTATAAGAGGTGGATTATTGAACTAAAATTATAAGCCCACCCTGCCTTTGTATGAAGGATACAAGGGTGGAAATCAGCACCCCCAGAAGTGCAACAACTGAATTTAATTGAGATTTCCGGGTCTGTCAATCCATTTTCTCCTACTTGATTCATTTATGTTCTAAAATTGCATTAAAAGTAGCCTCAAGTCGGTTTGGAATTTAGAAAATGAATAAGAGAATTGCTGAAAATATATCTGTTTTCTATCTAATCTATCAACATTTCAACTATAGAGCAATTACCGGTATTTCTATAAACCTATAAACACACCCATTTTGGAACCCGCTTAGCTCACTAGATTGATGCATTCACTTTTAAAAGATGATATTCAGTATATCTGAAATACCTGCAATCCTTTTCCCAGATTCTTTTGTACCAAAAAAAAAACACACCCCTCTTCACATTTTGGAATTTATGACTTGTTTACCTTGGTGCATGAATAATTTTAATCAAAATTTGTTTCTTGTTTCACAGAGGAAGCTCAGTAATCTTATATTTACACTTTGGAAAGTATGGGTGAGACAGCCGATTCCAAGAAACATGACGATCATAAGGAAAAATAGGGGAAGCATGAGAAAGAAGAGAAGCGCGAGGGAGAAGATCATAAGGAGGAAAAGGGAGAGAAAAAGGAGAAGAAGAAGAAGAAGAAAGACAAGGAATGTAAAGATAAGGAGGATAAAGAAGATGGTGGAAAGGAGAAGAAGAAAAAGAACCCTGAATATAAGAAGAACCCTGAGAAACTAAGAGCTAAGCTTCAAAAGATAGAATCCAAGATACAGGCATTAATCCAAAAGAAACAAGAAGTTTTAAAACTACTCGAAGAAGTCGATAAAGTTGCTGCTGACAACTAGGTGTTTGAGCCTGGCAAAACTCCATAATTCTCTTCAGGTGGCACTTGCTGCATTAAGTCCAAGGGCCTCAAATTTAGTGACTAGATGCATATGATAAATGTGACAATAACACTGTATATGCTGCAGGAACTAGGCTGTAAGTAAAGAAATCAGCTCATAATCATAGCGTTCCCTGATAATTACAAGCTAATAGAAATTGAGTAGTTTTCAGATAGAATAAGTCAGTAGATCATACCAAAACAGGTCAACTTTGACTGATTGATAGTTTGATAACTTATGCGGGGAATGAAGCTTGGTCCGGGAGCAATGCAGTAAGCAAAAGAAGTTGCATTAGTCCCGGACAAAGCTTTATTCCTGACATTGCAATTAACCTTTGTCTCCTTAGAAGCAGCTGATCCAGTGCCAAAAGGCTATGGCAGAGTTCTCTAGACAATGGCTATCTGACTCCTCCCTTCTTATGTGGTTCTGAGCAGTGGCAGACATTATCTTGCTCCACTTAGGGTCAGCCCCTGTATGTAGAGGTGCAAGATTCATAATCTGCATGTTGATCAATGCCCAAAAAAACAGATAAAATATTCCCAATGACCAACTAATTGACACTCCACTAATGTCACTTTGATTAGAAAGAGATAATTAAGTTGGTGAAATTTTGGCCTTATATCTTGCTTTGGTATAACACTCTGGTTTGGCATAGGAAGAAAAACAACTTATTATGTAATGAGACATTGTTTAAATGAGACAAAAGCCGAGGAATAAGAAGCACTCAATTTCCATCATAATTTCTTCCTAAAAATGTCAAACTTCAGCCGTATGTGAAGAATGGAGCACATTCATTCCAGGCATTAAGTTTTGAATTAACAGAGAACACTGCAACCCATAATGCAGTTTTGTACTTGAAATGATGGAACCGTCTAATGGTGGAAGTAATTTTAAAGCACTCTCTCTATTGATATCGTGAGTGTGCTGATTGATGCCAAATGAGTCATTGTTTTTTTGGATCAAAGAACGGCTATAAATCAACAGCCCCCATTTCATATAAAGTGTCTGGATCATCATTAAACATATTTTAAGGAATGTGTTTGTAGTATGCTTTTAAAGTATCTTTCATCCTCATTATCTTTGGTGATGGAGCTTTTAGCTATATCCAAGGAACAATGATTCATGATTTGTCATGCAAAATTGACTTCCATTCTGTTTCTGTACATTCACTTGCTGTTAAAATTTCACTCATTGAAAGCTTTTCATGAATGTCTGATTGTACTTGAGAAAAGAAAAAGATCAAATTCCTATGGAAAACCATTTTAGATCTAAAGAATTTAGGACCATGACTTACAGAGAAATATTGGACAGTTCTCAGAAAAAGTAAGGCCACTAGTTCCAGGAGATCAAACGAACATAGATAGCAATCTGAATAAACCAGATCATTTTTCTGATTGGTCCATTCATAATTGGAATGTTAAGGGAATGTCATACAAGGACATGAGAAATGAACCTTCAATTTGACATGGTAAAGGAACCTTAATTCAAGAACATATTATACAAAAATAGTAATATAATCACCTCAAGAGTAAAAGAACCTGTTTTTGTAATCCAATTTATGCCAGGATTTATGTTATTGGTTCTACTGCATACTGATTTAAAAAAAAAAAAAAGACAAAAAGATCATATGATATGACTTCTGAACATCAGAAATTGTCCTCTTATTACAAATGGCAACATTTTAAGGGTTTCAAGATGTATTTTTGCTGGTATTTTCAGTGCTTACAAGACTATTTGCAAAATGACTGAAAAGCAACTCAGAGAAGCAAATCCAACCGTATGTCTCCATCCCGCTCACTGTATTCAATTAAGTTGTCACTTAACTTTGAACATAGTAGCCAAATCCCAGATGAGAAATTTCATAGCCTGGCATTTTCGGTGGACAGAATCATCGAACACGAATTGGCTCTTGGAAATTTCGTTTTGTACAGGGATATTTTCTTTGTCAGTACTTAAGAAGCTTCCCTTTTGGCTGATTCTGTCATTCTCAATAAATTTTCCTTGAAAAAAAAAAAAGCAGCTTGATAAACAAGTTGAAATCCACTGTTTGAAAGCTTGAACAACACAATATTATGAATCCTGGTTTATATTTTGCTATAGGCAAAAAAGCTGGACATAGTAACATCTTTTGTTCTTTAATACAGATTTAAAATTGTTTCTGGAAAAGCAGTTCATATTCTTCACATATTCCTCCCATCTGAACTTTGGTTGGATCTTCTCTACAAGGATTATGCTCAACAACAATCACTACAGCTTCACTACCAAAGTTTCAACCAGAGTTTTGACTTTTCATGCCAAAGTAATGTTTCTCCTCTTAATCTCTTGATATTTTAAGTTTGATTTCTAGTATTCTATTTTATACTAATGTCTTTAGATGAAAAGATTATATAACGAACCTAGAATTTAACTCAATTGATTCACTTTTAAGAGATAGCATCTAACAGGTTAGAATTCAAATTCCAACACCTATAACTCTTTACTTTATCTTAGGTTGTGACCTTTTTTGTAAAAATAATGTATAAACACTTCAGGCTTGCTTGTAGTTTAATTGACATGTCTCTGGAAAAAAGTGTCTAGAAATGAAATTGGAGAATGTACTACCAATATACCATCTATGACCTGTATTTATGTCTCTTACTGTCTGTATTTGACGATTTATTAAGTTGGTCATCAAGTTGCATATTGAACAATTTAGTGGTTCTCATTCAAGTATGGTATACTGTAGAATTCAGGTCTTATCAATTTGAATTGTAGTTTCTAACATCCCAATTTCATGCCGAGGTATTCCAAGTATCAGCTATGATATATATATATATATATATATATATTTAAATATATATTTATGAGGTCTTTTTTGTATGACAAAACACAAAACCATAAGACTTTCGGGTTTTGTGAGGCAATACTTCATTGTTGAGCAAGGATCTTTAGCAATCATCATAGAACGTATATAAACACGCCTCCATAAATCGGTCTAAACAAAGTAAGGCCTATGCTAATTGCATTCGTTAGTTCATCATATCACTTTTCTTGCTTTTTTTCACCGTGGAAACGGTAGATACATGAAGTCAGTAGTTATGGTAGTATCTATCAGTATATATTTTCCAAAATGCAGAAAATCAATGAGCTTTGGCCTCAGCTTGATGTTCTCCAGCAATGCCAACTCTGTTAAGAAGAAAGAAGAGAAATCAGTCCTTATAAAGTATAATCATGATTTCTTCTGGACATATGTATTTATCATGAATAGCATCAATAACACACTTGTGAGGATGATTTTCCCATTAATGGAAAATGGAAGAAGTTCAACTGAATAAGGAGTTACACCTGCCACAAAGAGCAAAAATAAGAGCCCACCCTTACTACAGACTTTTCTAAAGAATAACCAACAAAAACCAATTCACGCAAAGATATGGTACAAATTTTTTTTTTTAGGTACAAATGAGGCCACAATTTGAAGATAGAAGATGGAGTCGCAGGTATTGAGATTTAAATCACAGACTTGCTAGATGCCATCTTTTAATGATGGCATCATGAAAAAGCAGAGTTAAAGCTGAGTTCGCCCTTTCTCAATTTTATGATCACAAAACTCCTATTGCAGAAGAAGAGGCAGGAGAAATCCTTGCTCTATGCTTAAGAAAAGACTTGTGTCAGATGTTGTTGTTTGTAGGAAACTCAGCTAATCATATCTATATCCTGACTTACAAGATTTTTATGGTTTTACAGTTGAAGAGGTTTTGCCTGGAGTGAATACAGTTTTCAGAGTAATCATTCCAAAATCCGGGAAGGTGCTTAATATCTTTCAAGTTTCAATTTGCATTCATCTGAAACTTTCCTGGATCAACAGTTGCCTCCCTTTTTATTACATTTTGACTAACAAGCCGGTTATAGTAATTCACAAGAACCTATTATTACATATGCATAGTTAGAGGTATAATTGATCAATTTTGAACCGATACATTATTAAGCTTGAACTTAATTTAAAATTTGAGACTCGAAATTCGATTCTAATTTGATCGAGTTTTATTTTTTAGTTTAAACTCCATTCGATATAGAAATTGAGTTACTTGAGCTCATCGATTAAACTCAATTAATATGTAAAAATAAATTTTATTTTTATATTCAATAAAAATTTGATTGTTTGTACTCAACACTTAAGTTTAAGTTCGAAATAATTTATTAATTAAAATAATTAAAATATATTAAAATATAAAAATTTGATTAGGCTCGTAAGCAACTCAAATCGAGTATAAGCATACTCGAATTCGACTCGATTAATAAAATGAGTTATTCGAACTCAAATTCGTCTCGATAATAATCAAACTGAATTAAAATTTATTCGAATCGAAGTCGAATAACTTACGAGTACTAATATATTATTTACCCTCTTATACACAGTGCATCATTCTCACAGCAATGGTTATTGCAATAATAGGCAGAACTAAAATACTTGCATGACTTGTGGGGTTTAGCGCTGGAGTCGGATTGAAGGCAAGCCTTGCTACAGGGTTTGACCCCATTGCAAACATCTCGGCTGTATTAGGAAGCACTCTGGTCTCTCTTGGGGCCGACCTCGGCATTGACATAACAACGACTCTCAACAAATTTAGTGCCGATTTGAGCTTGAATAGTACCTTATTGCTTCCATAAACTAGTGAGCATTTGGTATTAAATTAGAGAAGAAAAACAACAGTTAGAAATAATTAAAAAAATGACGGTTTTCATTTTAGCTTTGAGTAATAGTATCATTCATTTGTATCTCTGCCCCTTCTTTCCCTTTTCCCCACAATTTTCTCCCTTAAGATTTTTGGTACAAAAGAGACCGTAACTTGAAAATTGGGAAAGAGTTGCAGGTACTATATTTTGAACACAGACTTACAAAATGTCAAATGACAACATGAACTAATTAAATTAAGCTCCGTATTCTTTTCCCATGCGATTTTACTTCTACCTCATTTATGAAAATTAAAACACTAACTTAAACCCCAACCAGATTGCTTAATGCTCTTAGCATTTGTGACAATGCAGGAGTAATAGTTTTGACAGTGTAAAAACATCCTTTTACCATCCACTGAACCCCCCAACTAAGACTGCAACTGCAGCTGAGTTGAAGCATAGGTTTTCAACGGCTATTGCCGGAGAGATTGATTTAAGGGACAGCAATAACATCCGTAGAACAGGACTTTCAATGGCTCTCAAGCCCTAGGACCATTCTGTATACTGAAGGTCTGAAGTGTTCCTGACATGATTTTATGTCACCAATCACAGTAATTACTATTATGTTCCTTGATTCAATCCAGTTTTTACATGCAAAGGCTCCTAATACTAGTGATAAATAATGTAAAAGCATCAATGCTGAAAATTAAGTTGAGGTGATTTTGACGAGGGATTCAGAAGTTGTAAGGAAAACACACCAGAAACTAAACAGGCAAACATCAAAACCCATTATTATCCCACCCCCCCACCCCCAAAAAAAAAAAAAAAAAACCCCAATAAATGCTTGTCCCAAGCAAAACCCTATATAAGTCATTGAAAAGGCATATAGTTACTGATGTGCAGCCTGGAGGAGTCCATCACGAATCTGAGTAGCAACATCACGAACAGCTCCAGGACCATGAGGGATAAACACAGCCGAAGATTTAGAAGCAGCACCAATTTCTTTCATGGTGTCAAAGTACTGAGTGACCAAGACCATGTCCATGACATCCTTTGCAGTAGTCCCAGGGACATTAACAGAGAATCCAAGCACACTATCTCGCAAACCATCGACAATTGCTTGTCGCTGGCGAGCAATACCCAGCCCTGACAAATATTTAGACTCAGCCTCACCTTCAGCTCGTTTGATTTGCAGAATTTTCTCAGCCTCTGCCTTCTCATTAGCTGCCACCCTCAGCCTTGCAGCTGCAAGTACACGACAATCAGAAGATAATATTGAGGAAACTGTTACAAGAAAAATAACCAAATGCCAGAAAGATTCCATATTTACATTAAAATCACATTATAAAAAAAAAACCTATGTTACTCTGTTGACATTATCACAGACAGAGCATTGCAAATTTGCAGTAACTACAAATTTATCTGCTTCTGGAATACTGAAAAGCTTCCCACCGGGTGGGTGAATGTAGAGCCATCTGGTCTTTTTGGTACAAAAAATATATATTTTATTTACCATTCATCCAGGAAAAAAAATAAAAACCATAAAAAAAGGCATGATTTGATGGGGATTAAAACACCCAATTATAGATATCCATCTCTGTAATATACTCTAAAGCTAAAAGGTTTAGGCAATAACAGAAGACCAAAAAGTTGACAGGCCAATGTCGAAAGGTAAATTCATGAGACCCAGCGTTTTTTTTTTTTGGCTGAAAATTTCATTAGGCCTGGTGTTACTCTCATATTTCTGTAGTAGTATGATCTATTTGCTGCATATATGCAGAATACAGCTAACTGCTCAGAAATCCAGTGCACAGTTAGCCTATCCTACACAACAGCAAGTTTGAAAGAGCAACAACCAAGAGGTAGTAAGTATTTTACCAGCATTGATTTCATTCATTGCACGTTTCACATGGTCATCAGGTTCTATGTCCACAATAAGTGTTTGAACAATCTCATACCCATAGGCAGACATTGCCTGTAAGGAAAAGAAGCGGCAACAAAATTAGAAACCTGTTTACATATCAGCTTCACAATTGCAGCAATTTAACATAACAAAGTCCTAGTCCAATCACATGGGGTTAGCTTTCACAGCATAAGATCAATGTATACTAAATCAAGTTGGTTACCTTCTCAAGTTCTTCTTCAACAGCTTTAGCAATTTCATTCTTTTGTTCAAAAACATCATCCAGATTTAGCTTTGGAACACTTGCTCTAATAACTAAAGGTATAAAAAATGTCAGCTTCTATCCTCCACTTTGAACGACTAAGTAATTGAACATCAGAAGATGAAAAATGTTAAAATATTTCCCATGTGATTTTGAATATAACATGAATACAAATGTACTGAATGAGTTCAGATATACGTATGTGCGCATGGTATGAGGGCAATGTGAAAATATAAACCACAAAGTATTCTTCATACCATCAAAAACATAGGCTTGAATTTGTGTCCTTGTGTTGGAGAGTTTGTAAAAGGCATCATTTGCCTTATCTGCCAATGCCCGGTATTGAATAGATGCAACAACATTGACAAATACGTTGTCCTGATAAGATGACCATAAAAACCAGTTAGTTTCCACTACACAAGAGAGGCATATTATGGTCCAAAAATACTATTTGATGAGTTTAAGCCATCTGAAAGTCAGATAACTAGAATATTCCATTAAATTTATGCTGCTCATGATATGAAAGTCCTTGACAATTTTATTTCTTCACAATTATGCATGTCCTTTCCTCCACCTCACATCCCCACACTCCTCTCCTAGAAAACTATAAGAGAGAGACGGAAACTGATGAAAGAATTAACATGGCGGAACATACTATTGTTGGAGAAAATAATAAGAGTACACAGGTCTAAATGGCAATTTATTAGGAAGAATACTTCATCCTAAAATGTCTAAGAGTTATACAGTAAAGAAAAGTCATAAACTGAAAAACTACAACATAAAAAAGCAATAGATGGACCTTAGTCTTGGTCTCACAACGAACATCCAACTGCTGCAATCTCAGCGACAGGTGGCCAGCAAGCTGACTTCCAAGAAACCAGGGTAGGCAATGGCATCCAGGTTCGAGTACATCCTCAAACTTACCGAATCTCTCCTTGATGGCTACAGTGGACTGGTCAACTTGTATACAACAAAATAGATTACCCATTTTCTCTTTGTTCTGACAGTCCAATGGTTTATATATCAGTTTAAAAGAACTCAATCAAACACCGGTGCTATCTATGAACTAGCATATTAAAGCATACCACATATATCAAAATCAATGATTTCAACATTTGTAGGACATAAATATTAACCTTGCAACAAGAAAATTGTTATCATAAAAATAGGTAATATATGTACATGTTCTAATAGTAACACTCAAGGATGAAGGAACATAAAATAGGAAATAGATTATCAATAGAAAAGGTAAAATAACTAAACTTAGATGGTTGAATCTAAATTAAATCCCTTAAGAGAACTAAAAGGAATTTACACAAGCTAGGGACAGGAAACAGGATGCTGCCTCACACTGGATAAAACCAAACATAGGTTCAGAACAAAAGATGCAGTAACTGCATAGCAGTTACTACAAAACAAGTTCAAACTATCCAAAAAGTATAAATAATTATAAATACAAAATAACCTTCCTAACTCCAATCCAAGTAACTTCAAGTGGCAATGTCAAAACAAGCTTGGCAGATCACCCAAATCATAAAACCAGCCTAACTTTCAATTTATGTCAGGATAATGTAGAGACGATAGATAAGAGCATATAAAAGGACTTAGAAGACTTACAACTTAACTTAATAAACAAAGGTAGACAAAGCAGAAGAAAACAAAGAAAACTATGAAGAGATAGAGAACAAAACTCAAATAGAAATGAAGTATATAAATAGAGTGCTGCAAGTTGGCTTGGAAAATTGCCCAGCCGTAGTTTCTCAAAACACATCCCTTTTGGAATTTCATTGAAATTGTATGGCAATAAAGAAGATTAACATTGACCTATAAAAGCCAAGTCAACAAAAATTCCAGCTTCATTCTTTTCTACTAAATCATAACAAAAAATTTTAAATATCTAGCAGTCCCCATCCTATAGCCAGAAAAATATTCCCAGGAGGCTTCACGATATGAAAAGAATCTTCATTGTATACAACCCACAAAAAATATAGTTATTATTATTTGGATGGAAAATTTATGGTTCCATTTGACACACTCGACGATTTTATAAACTTTAAAATTGTCGTCATAGGTTGTCTCTATCAAGAAGAATTCATAGGAAAAATGAACAAGCAACCAATAAATACTCCAAAATTATATTAAAGTAAAACAAAAAAAAAAAAGGTCTTCAATTATTGGACTGTGACAGCTAATCTCTTGTTCGCTGGCTTAAACAGCTAAATCAACAAAATGGGTTTGTTGAATTCGGTCAATTATCATTAGTTTCATTGATGAAATCAAGTATAAAGCTTTTATGGCTTAATTGATAGATAAAAGAAGAGGGACAAGAATGAAAAGAAAAAGGAAAAAGTGGGTTGCATTTAGAAGAAATTTTTCATAGAGGAAAAGGAAAATGCGAAGAAACCCATATGTAAAGTTGAGATGGTCAAGATATATGTACCTGATTTAATTATAATTCTGTTTTTCTTGTGATTTTTCGAAGGAGAAAAGTTGGAGCTCTTACAAGGAAGAAGAGAAAGAAGCGCGTGAAACACTACCTAGCGTAATTCGGAGGTTGATGGCATCATTAAAAAAAAAAAATTTATTCTTAGCATTAATCGAAAAATTTTACTTAAGTGCCCTTTGATATCGTCGGGTGTTTCGTATTTTTAAAATTTTGTTTTGTTTTATTTTCTTTTTAATTTATTAAATTCAAACATATATTTAAATAAAATATTTCTGTTTTAAATTTGTAAAAATAAAAATAGTAAAAAAAATTAAATTTTTTATATTTTATAGGGGAGATATTCGAATTTAGTCAAAAGCAGAAAGTTTGATTTGTAACTATAATGATACCGTAGTCGAATAAGTAAACAGTATTCGTGTGATAACAATGATAAAATTATTTTTAAAAAATCTGAAAATGTTATTTTTATTTTCAATCATTTTTTAAATTTTATTTTTAATTTTTAAAAACAAAAATAACTTATCAAATATATTTTTATTTTTAATTTTTAAAAAAACTAAAAATAAAAAAAATGAAAGCCATATCAAACTATCCCTATTTTCGAAATTTACAAAGATAAACTAATGAATTTAAGAATTACTTACTCTAATATTGATCTAATTTCTCAAAATATATTTCATGAACTCTCGAATTTTAGCTTTCAAATTTAGTTTTGAACGCTTTCTCGATCTTCTTGATTATGAAACAAAGGTTTTTGGTAATAGGAAGAGCTAAACTAAAGAGAGTTTAAGAGAAAAAAATTATTTATGTAATTATTTGAATTTTAATTTAATTTTTGTGTGTATATATATATATATATATATATATATATATGATTATAGACACTTCAATCTATTTGAGGTTTTATTCAATATGATTTTTGTTAAAAAAATAAAAAAATGAAATATGATAAGTTAAATTTGTGTGAAATTGTGTGTGAGGAGTTTAAATTGAATTTAAAGATTGAAAATTAAAATTAAAAGAGAATTAAATTATGTTCAGGTATAAGATTCTTTTGATTAGAACCTTATAAATAGATGTTCTCATAAACACACAAAAATACACAAAGGAACACAAAGATCATAGAGAGTTAGATCACATAAAAATGCAGAAAGCAATCAAAAATTTTTTTGAAGATTTTTTAGGTTTAAAAAGAAGAATTTTTTTTTGGAAAAATCTAAAAAATTCTCATATTCAGGCAAAAATTTTCAGTTTTCAGTAAATTTTTTGACGCAGGTTGAAATATTCGATGAATTTTCTAGTACTGGTTGAATTTTTTGACAAGCATCACAGAATCCGGTTGAAGATTTCGGCAGGCTTGAATTTTTTAGTAAACGTCTGGCAAACCAACCAAGATTTCGGTGACTATTTCTAGAATCTAGTGAAGGATTCAATTGAAGTTCATCCATTCTAGAGAGAAAGGGTGAGAAAAATAGGAGAAAAGAGAAAGGGGTGAAAAAGATCTGGCAAAAAAAGACTGAATTATGAATTTTATACCCATTTCAAAACGACGTTGTTTTTACCTTAAACGGTCCTAAGACTGACGTGTTTTTATTAGGGCTAACCAGACCAGAGGGCAACCTACTTCTGTCAATCCAGGTTCCACCCGATTCCTATAGTTGAGCAGAGCCAAGTCGAGCCTCTGAGCTGAGTCGTTAAGTCGTTTTTTGTACTTGAAGTCAAGCCGTTCCAACTGAGCCATTTCTAATTTTTTGATATTTTTTATTTATTTTATTTAGTTATTTATTTATGTATTTATTTATTTTTAAGGTTTTTTTTGCATAATTAAATTTTAAAAAAATAAAAAAAATATAAAAATAAATTATTTTTTGAGAATATATAATAATTATCCAATAATAAAATTTTTAAAAATTTCAAATGGTAAATTTTTATAAATTTCTTAGGTGATAAAATTTCTCTAAATTTGTCATAAATTGTGAAATGATTTAGATAAAATTTCAATAATAACAATTAATATTTATTTTCAAACCAAAAAATAAAAAATAAAAAATTTTTGGTTGAAAATATTTGATAATTATCCAATGATGAGATCCTTAGAAATTTTAAATGATAAATTTTCTAAGATATCTTTAGGTGAGAAATTTCTTTAAATTTGTCCCACATGATGAAAGAATTTAAATGAAATTTCAAAAAAAAAATAATTGTCATATTATTTTCTTTAAAAAAAAAAGAGAAATAAAAAAAAATTCTAAATATGCCCAAATGGTAAAGAATTTAGAAATTAAAAAAAATAAAAAAAATATTTTTAATTTAGCTCAAATAGTGGAAGAATTAGATATATTTTCACAAAAAAAACCTAAAATAAAAAATATAAATGATAAAAAATAAAAATAGTTAAACATTTTTCCAACAACGGAGCCTCTTCAAGAAAACAAATGGAATTCTTGAATACTTTTGAGGTGAGAAAATATTTTTAAGAATTTTACCAGATTAATAGGGAGTCTTAAGAATTATTTTCAATATTTGAATATTAAATTTTAAAACTATTAGAATTAAGACCTTATGATAAATATAAAATAAAATGGTACTATCCTTTGGATAGGCATGTGGGGGTGCTATAATCTTTTCCATATATAATCGAACTCGCAAACCTTGTTTTAGTTAGTAGGCTTGAACATATTCTTTTAGAAACCCTTAATCGAGCTTAGGAGCTTCTTAACAAGATATATTCCTTAGGTGGCCAATCATATCTAGTTAAAAAAGCTTGGTGACGACTCCATTTATGAAGTCTAGCTATACATTTTCAGATTTATATGTTATGACAGTTTGACGACTCCACTGGGGACAGTCATAAAGAGTCAAGCCATAAACTTTTAAATTTATCCTATTCTTTGGTCTAATGGTTTTAAATTGCAATGATTTGTGTTATCTGTTTACTAACATTTTTGTCTTTTTTATCTTTTATTTTTAGGGCATGAAACCTATATGTTCCTTCACACACACTATCACATACATTTGTATTACATGAGATATATATCCGATTCCATCTCTCTTAGGAGTGAGTAAAGAACTTACACTCTCATAAAATGATAATCTCCGTAATAGCTAGTGAAATACTATAAACATCGAATTTTGTCTAGGTCTATCAAATAAAATCCCACGTTTATTTTTTGTTTATTAATATTAAAACGATTAATTAATTATAATGGTAAATAATAATAATACTAATGGTAATAGTAATATTAATAATAAAATAATAAAAAATTTTTTAAAAGAAAAAAGATGATGGGACGGGGATAGACATGGTGCCGTACACAACACTAGCCTGTCCAGTCGTCCTACCACCATTATACGCCCCATCAGACCAGCTACCTTGTAGCCACTTTCAGCCATCCCTACAGCCTACCCTACTCATACCTCCAGTCACCATCTACTCCACCCATTGTTCCAGACAATCGACCCCTTAAAGCACTTAGCTTTCTCTCCTTTCAACTTTGGGGGGAACATAGACTCAAATGCCCAAAAACCTCATAGCACCTACATTCAAACTAAGTCTTCCACATCAAGAACCCCAACACTTAATACTTGACACCACCATAGCACCCTCAAAAATTGAGGGACCAAACCTTCATCGCACCATACTAGAAACCCAAACCCACTACCACACATCCACTCTTTGTGCTCAAAACCACCACATCAGCACCCAACAAGCCCTTGACCATCAATTCTCCACAATACCCATAAAAAAAAAAAACACCAAAAAAAAATCCACACAATAAAACACAAAAAAAAAAATAGTCCTCTTTGTAGGGAGAACCCAGCGCTGAGCTATATGCAATAAAAAAGAAAGATCATTAGTTTGAGTTATAAAAAAAAAAAAACTCAAAAAATTTAAACCTTGATCTACGCTAATCGGGGTTATTTCTCATAAAAAAGGGTCCGGATCTATGCTCAAAAGATCAAAGTGAGTTTTTGGTGACATTTGGCCTCTTTCGGTCACTGACGACCATGGACAACGACCACTGTCGACGACTCAGGCAACAACAGCCGCGATGGTCCAGCAACGGATTCTAGCTAAGCCAGAGAGTTTTCAGGAACTAAAAAAATTTTTTTTTTCTGAAAGGAGGATGAAATGAACCAAAAAATTGTTAACTTTTATATAAAAAACTAAAAGCAAAAAGGGAGAATCTACGCATGGACTCGGATCCGACCAGAGATCTGCGTAACTGACCCGCTAACCTGCTTTTTTCACAACCCTAAACCAGTTTAATTAGATTGGATCGAATCGTCTGTGAATCCGTTTGAATCGCCTCAGCTCTGAATCGTCAAACCAGACCGAATCGACGTTGATGGGATCGGTTAGGTAAACAAAATTTTTAAAATTTTTTTGTATATATTATTTATATCATTTTCAACTTTATTATCATTAATATTTATGCAAGTTTTAAAACTTTTAGAATTTGCTAGAATAAATATTCGTTGTTTTACAATAATTAATAATAATAACAATAATAGTGATAATAATAATAATAATTCAAATGAATTTAAAAATTTTAACTCCTTTTAATGTCTTTAATAATCCAGTTATTAAATAAATAATAATAATAAATATATAAAATGATTATAAAAATAAAAAAAAAAAATTTTGCTTAGATGTTTGAGGGATTATAATAATAATAATAATTTTACCTAAATGTTGGAGAATTATAAAAAAAAAATAATTAATTAATAATTTTATTAATAATAAAAATAATAAATTTTCATAAAAAAAATTTATGAAGAATTTTAATTAATTTTCAAAAATCATAAAAATCGAACTTATTTTAAAAGTTCGCCTAAATGTTGGAGATTTTTAGAGATGTTCGTGTTTTCAAAATTCAAAACGAAACCCTAAACTCTCCAAACCCTAAAATTAAACTTTAAATCCTCTAAACCTCGAAATTGAGCCCCTAAACCCGTCAAACCCTAATATTAAAC